TCACCGCAGGCGGCTTCCTCCCCCGCAAGCCCAGGCCGTGAGCTGCAGCGGAGAGCTCCAGCTGGAGGGGTGAGAGATCAGCTCCGGCTGGGAAACTCTTACCTTAACGCTTTGGCTCCACTGCAGCTCGCAACAGTCCTCGAATATAACCGATGCTCTCCCATTACACTTGGGAGCACCGCATAGTCCATCGTGACAGCTGCAAGCGGCTAACCATACACCCCAGCAGGGAGGCCTGATGCTTGTAAATAATCGAAAGAAAAGGAAAACGCGCTAAAAAATAAATGTATGTCTCTGGAGCTTTCGCACCTTCCCAGCCATCTCTACTTACATAATGAAGAACGGAAATTATTTACCCTCACATGGGGAAAAAACCTAAGCTCAGGAGCCTCCATCGGCGAAAGAGATATCGATTTTGCTTCCCATCAGGCGGAAAGTTTAGCGTGGCCTGGCTGCAGTTAGCACAGATGCACTCCCATTGCACTCCCATGGCAGTTTGCCTCCAGGTGAATCAAAATGCTGCATAAGTGTAGACAGAAGTAAAATATGCAGTAAAGCAAACTTCGTTGATGCTTATTTGTGTGCATACCTTTGGCTTGCATCGCCAGCTGTAGTGGGGTGCACTGCAACACCGGTTAGGCTCAATCCTCCCCCGCAGTCGCAGGGCCCTCTGAACTGAACGCCCAAGATGCCTGGGGTCACAGGAGAGAGCTCAGCTGATTTGGATAAGCTCTTACTTTAGCTCTTTATCTTCGTCGCTCCTCGCTCCAGAGCTGGAATAAGGCTGGAAAGCAAGCGTTGTAGGAGGTGCATTTCCACCAAGGTCAATTCAGGAAGAATGCTTGAACTTTTGCCGACGAGCGAATATGACACGTGTCGCCATCCAAAAGCAGTTGAAAAGTTCTTTGGCTACTCCCAACTGTACCTTCGTCTTTGAAAAGCAAAAGCAAAAGCACTAGGATTACTGTTGGCATCTTCCCCGACAGTTCGCTCTCCGAGCGCCACTCTAACCGTCGGTACCGTGGCAATTTCACACAGTTTTGTCGTTTCCTTTTGGCCGACGTTGGTTTTAATACGTGTGTCCACGACCTCAGTATTCGCCAGTTGTTGCTTTTCGTTACGACGTTGGTGCTGTCTTATATGGTGAGTGCGCGAGAACTTGTGGTGATTTTCTGAGCCGTTCTAGGTAACCAACATTGACAGTATTGTGGCATCTCCGCATTGTGCGCCACAGATATAGTTCGGCACAATGAGAGCGAATAGCACGCGGTCTTTTCCAACGCATGGTTAAATGTTGGTTCTCCTCGCCCTCCTGCACGCTGAAGGGGGCGTGTGAGAAGCTGTCCTGTAGCACTTCAGTTAAGGCGAGTTTGGGGCCGTAGGGATCATAGGGCCCTCCGACTTCCACCACACTCTCACCAGGAGGTGGACCGAGGAATTTCCATCTCTGCGTCTTATGCCCCCAACAACAACACAAACGCGGACGAAAACCAACCTGTTAGTTTTTATAGGGATCCGAGTCCCCTAACGCGCTGGGGTCTTTTGGAACTGTAACGATGGAAGTACTACACGCGAAGGAAGCTGATGATGTATGGGCTGAACCCTTAGCCCCGCTCTATTTATGCTCAATTGCGTTCACGTCAGTGAACAATATTACACTGTAGCGTAGCATTCCAATAAACGTGGGTCAATAATATGCCGTTTCTCTGAAATGCCTTTCTCGGGCGCATCCGTCTATCCCCATTCTCGAATGTAATATTCCGGCGGGCATAAACTGATAGAGAATCTCAAGTAACTCCACTGCGTTACGGAAACTAAGACATCTCGTCTCATTCGGCAAACAAACAGAAGCCAACAAACCATACAAAAGGTTTCTTTTTTTATTTACTTACGCATTTCCAGCTCCCATCGCCACTTGTCCCGGCACTACGGCTCTAGGGGCTGGGAGAGTCGACGGCGTGGCAAGTTGAAATACCGTTTGCACAAAGTCTCATGCCAGCCTCTCGTGTAGTCGCAGCAATACGCTTCCTTTTGTAAACAATAACTAATGCACTCTCCAACTAGTGGTGAGTGGGCTAACGGAGACTGAATAGGCTTATGTGACAACCATACCGAAACAAAGGGAATATATTCATGATCCATAATCACGGAAAGGGGGTGAGAAACAATTCTCTTGGGGATCGGACCGCTGACCCAAAGGTTCACCGCAGAGGCTACCTGGAGGTGGTCTCTAGATTCCGCCAGCAAAAATGGCGGTGCGACGCCACACTTCCCTGGCAGGTACACCTTTCCGTGCTGGCAGACTTCTAGCGGCCACTCTCTCTAGTGGAGTACCGTCTGCTTATAGAAAGATAATGTAAAGCTCAATATATAGCTAATTAACCATTAATTAAACCCACTCTTCTAATGGAGCTAAAATAACGGGAACATTGTAGTGAATACGCACAATATTCCCCTCCTTCGAGAAAGCGAATGACATAGGTATTCGCGTAGAGAAGCTCCCGGGGCTGGGTAGAAAGGTACGAACTCAGGGTGCACTAAAGGGGCCCCTGCTGGCTGTGCTTGAGGGACTGGACAAACCGGATGACCCGCCCGTGCTTGACGTCGCCTCCAGGCAAGAAGAAGAGCAAGGCAGTCGCTGAGCAGCCGGTTCTCAGGTGGAGATATCTTTTGGGGAACCGCACCGCTTGACGAGGTATTGGAGAGACGGGGCATTCGCCACGCTTGCCCATGATATAATCAACTTTATAAGGGTCTAAAATATTGCTGTGGGCATCCGTCTCCGGGAGCAAAACTGCAGCTTTCCGAGAGACCATCTTGAGGTCGCCGACGATCGGGTATGGGCTGCGAGACGTGAAAACCCTCGTGGATCTCTTAAGTATGTGGAAGGGACAGATGAGACTTCACCTTCCCGATCTTTGCTTTTACAGCTAACGGCCCGCCGGAATCTCGGCTCGAACTTGGAATGCACCTTCTGAGGCGGCAGGTTGCGGCTGCTGAGCCACACCCCAATAACTGGCTGGTAAACCACGTCGCGCCATGGGCATCGGCGTACTGCTTCTGGTCCGACTTCTCTTGCAACATCTGCGCCTGCGGTCGGTCACAGGGGCGCCGAAAATGTTTCGTCCTAGGTGACATTGACGTAGGGAGAAGGTAGAAAACAATCTCCAACTATGCTGCAGTGACGGGGTTCTCTCTGATCATTATCTCAGGTGGACTGGACTCAGTGTAGCAGTTGCTGGTAGTATTGTATGCTAACTATATATATATATATANTATATATATATATATACTTATATATATCCCTTTTGTATAACAATACCAATAACACTAACAATAATAAAAAAATAATAATACTATGCGTGCAGCATAAGTATAAACATAAAATTTATATTAAATATTCAGGTGTACATACAGTGCTTGAGCTTGAGTTGACGGACGAGCCGATCCCCCTACGAGATATTTACGGCACTTCTGTTGCTTCTCATCGGAGCAAGTGGAGGATTTTGGCTCTAAAAGACAAAAACAATGCACCAGGAGGAACCTGGACCACTGTCTATGATCAAGGTAAGCATACATACACACAGACTGTGAGAAACTCCCCTTCAGAAACGCCAGTCTAAGGGGAGTTCGGGGCCTTAGGGATCATGTGGTCCTCGGAACCTGATCCCACTCGCGTCAGTAGATGCAGTAGTCCCGGCCAACAGCTCTGCGTCTTATGCCCCCAACGGCAACACAAACGCAGATGAAAACACAATGGTGAGGCGTAGAAGGGATCCAAGTTCCCTCACACGATGGGGTGGTGGGGATCCATAACACTCTAGGTACTGCAGGCCCCATAGGCTGATGAGAAGTGGGGGAGAGCCATCAGTTCCCCCATGGAATTGCTGAGATCTGGTCAAGATAACTTAGAGTGCTTCACTTTTGTACAAATATTCACAATAAGCTATACGAATTACTCGGTAGTATCTCTGAAGGGCGACTGTGGGGCGCATCCCTGGAACCCCACAGCTGAGTACAGCGAGCTGGCAAGCAATATCTATCATACTGAACAAATATACNGCATCCCTGGAACCCCACAGCTGAGTACAGCGAGCTGGCAAGCAATATCTATCATACTGAACAAATATACCAGACTAACAAAGGTTAAGTAAAATAAGTTCTCTCAGTTAATTCTCTGTCTGAAATTTTTTTGTTTCTCAACCCCAGTAGAGCAGGCACTGCGGCATTTGGGGCTGGGAGAGGGGACGGCGTAACCGGATGCAAATAGCTTTTGCACTAAGGCCCAAGCCGCCATCTCCTATAACCATACCAATGGTCACTCCATAAAGAATGCTTAATGCTTTCACCAATGTTATATTCGAAGTATATCAATAACAACTCACCGTCACTCTCACTATTCATACAATCCTCACTCACTTCACAACGAGCACGGCATTGCTGCCGTGATTGTAGGGAGTATTCACTACACAGACACACATACACACGGCTAGGGGCTAGGGTTTAGCATTTAGGGTTGCAGATGCAGGGGTTAGGATTTACTGCGGATTATATGTAAGATTTAGGGTTTGTTTGGATGTATTGGGGTTTATTAGTGTTTGTTGGGGATTTATGAGGGTCTATTGGTGTTTATGAGGGTTTATGAGGGTTTATGATGGTTTAACAGTGTTTACTAACCGGGTGAACTGGTGTGTATTGTTAAGAGTGTCTAGCGTTTATAGTTTATAGTTTCATCACTTACGGACGTCTTGTTTGTCTGTTTGTGTGTGTGTGTGTGTGTGTGTGTGTGTGTGTATGTGTGTGTGCAGTGTTTGAGTTGAGTGTGCTGGAGCAGCAGAAGCTGATGGCTCTCTTAAAATACAAAAAAAGAGAAAACTGCCCCCCGCAGACGACGGCGATATAAACGACCCCAACGGAAGGACCCTCTGCTATGAAACAGACCCCCACGCCACTCAACTAGGTACTTTCCCTTTGTCGCTTTTGTTGTTTTTGCTTATTTTATTTATTTTGTTTCTTTTGTCTAGTTTTGACTTGGTTTTCGTCTGTTGGGGCTTGGCTTTGGATTATCTATTTATATAGCTATTTATTTATTTGTCTGCAGGTGTTTGTTTGTCCATATATAGGTATTTATTTATGTATGAAGATGTGGGTATTTATTCTACAATATTCTATAGTATACTATAATACTATATAATATTCTATAATATCCTGTAATATTATATATATATATATTATAGAATATTATAGAATATTATATAGTATTATAGAATACTATAGAATATTATAGAACAAAAAATACACGCACGAACTTCATGAGCAGCATTCTCCTCAGCGCTCAACGTCGCTCTATGCACGCTGATTTGCTACAACCAAATACAA